AGAAATGCTCACAATAATGAAAACCTCAAACAGGAGGAAGAGCGCCCCTGGGTGGGCAGGCAGGTGTCTTGCTCGGCTGTGGCTTGGGGGGCACTTTTTCCAGTGCCATTGTAACTTCGAACAGTCATTAAGCAAACTGTTGTAAATCGAGGACTACCTGTACTTTATCACTTTTTTCCTTTTTTTTGTCATCAAGTTTTTGACACCTTGCTAGGCGACTGGTGGTACTCGGATATTGCTATATCCTAAAAGTGGTACAATGGGTGAAAAGGTTGAAAAGCCCTGACCTAGGGGCTCTAACATGTTTCTTATAAACTCACTCATTCTCTTTGGCAGGAAAATCTTTCCAGGCAACTAAATACTGAGTAGAACCATGATGCTTGCGAGAGTCTAAAATGTCCTTGATCTCAAAATGCTGCTCACTCTCCACCATAATTGGTGGTGGAGGAGGAGCAATGGCAGGCCTTAACGGAGACGTGACCTCGGGTTTCAGCAGACTGCAGTAGAATATTGGATGGATTTGTTGTAAACTCTTAGGGCATTCTAATTCCACAATTACAAGGTTTATAATGTGCGTAATGGGGAAAGGGCTGATACACTTTGGTCCTAACGTTTTGGATGGTTGCAGCGATTGCAAAAACCTGGTGGAAAGATAAACTCCATCCCCCACTCAGAAAGGCTTCGGCTCCATATGTTTTTTATCTGCCTGAGCCTTACTTGCTGCCCTGACTTCATCTAGAGCTTTCCTAACAACCGGCCAAATGTTCTGCAACTGATGAACCCATTCCTTAAGGGAGGGAATATAAAAGGTAACAGATCAGTCCAATTATCTTGTTGATAATTGATAAAACAATGAATGTATTATTCCAGAACAGAGTTTGTTCGTTCGTTCTGTCCTCCCATTCGTTTGAGGATGATGACTAGATGGCAGACCCTGACCCAAACCCAGAAGGCCCAGAAAGACTTTCCAGAACTTGGAGGTGAATTGGATGCCTCTGTCTGATATGTGCTGTGGGGCCCCATGCAGGCGATAAATATGCTGCACAACCAATTTTTTTGCAGTTGGAATCTTTTGACATGGGATAAAATGGGCCTATTTGGAGAATAAATCAGTAACGACCCAAATGACAGTGTTTCCCGCACTTTCAGATAGCTCCACAATAAAGTCCATAGAGATCTCTCTCCAGGGTGCTGAAGGGCTCACTACCGGCTGTAGGAGTCCGGGCATTTTTCCTTGCCTCCATTTAGCCCAGAGTTCCCCAACCTTTCCAGCTTGGCGGCCCAGAAGGAAAGGGAGCAGTAGGGAAATGTGTGCATGTGCAGCCCTACGTGTGCATGCGCAAACAGGCACGCACAAGATGGTAGCGCTAGTGCATGCAAATGCATAAGTGGGTCATACGCATACATGGCATGTGCGCTGGGGCCCGTGAGCATGCGCAAACTGGCCGTGCGTGCCCATGGCACATGTGCTGGCTGCCACGCACATGTGCAAATGGGCTGCATGCACCCATGTGACACTGCCAGTGGTGCTGGCATCCCTGTGCATGTGCAAATGGGGCTGCTAGTTCCCATGCGGCGTTGCTACCATGAGTGGGGCGGGGCTTGCCAGCTATTCCCGGGGCCCAATGGCCAACAGGCCTAGTACTGGGCCGTAGACCATAGGTTGGGGACTCCTGGTTTGTCGCTGGGCCGGTATGGCAGCTAGCCACATAATTTTCAATATCCTTTTTTACAGAGGACCACCAAAATTGTCTTTTAAGCAAGTGAAGGATTTTTACAAACCCAAAGTGCTCCGCTAGTTTTGAGTCGTGGCATGCTTGCATGATGTTCAGTCTCTGGTTGACGGGAACATATAGCTTCCCAGCGACCCAGGCTAATCCATGTTGCACTGAACAGAGATTTTTATGGCCCCAAAACCATTCTCCACTCCCCAACCATTGTGTAGTCTATCGGCGGGGTGCCTTTAGACCTTGTAGTGACCGTGGCTGCCAATTGATACGAAGAAAATAAAGGCTTAACTATCCCCGACTTCACACTGTTATACTGTGGCATTCTTGACAACGCGTTTGCCAGAAATCTTTTCCCCCTAGTAGATAGTGGATGGAGAAGTTAAATCGGTGGAAATGCTGGGCCCAGCATGCCTGTTTCGGAGACAATTTCCTGGGTTTTTTACTGCTTCCAGATTCTTATGATCAGTCCAAAGCTGGAAGGGTACTTTACTCCCTTCCCAAAAATATCTCCAAGTTAGAAGGGCCCACCGCACCGCATAAGCTTCCTTCTCCCAAGCAGCCCATCTGTCAACATCATCACTGTTCTGTCTCAGTCAGTTTCTTGGATGTGTAAGCGCAGGGTTGCAACTGACCCTGCTGGTTCTTTTGAAGCAGTACCACCCCTATAGCTACATCGCTGGAATCAGCCTGATTTACAAATGGTTTTTGTAATCCCATACACTTGCATGTAGATGAGAACGTGAGCCAGAAAGACCCCCAACTGTTGGGTGTCTCCATCAAACTTCACTCCCAGTGGAACCAATTTTGGCTTGTCTCGGGGAGTCCTATCCCTGGGGTGTCGTGGGGTCCGGGCTATCCGGGGAGTTATGCTGCTGGGGTAGCTGCCACAGTCTCCATTGAGCCTGTTGCCCCCCCGTTGTCTCAGTAACTGCAGTTTCTCCTCCATGCTCGACTTCCTCCTTTAATTCTTCCTCCGCTTCTGGGCACCCCAGGGATTTAGCCTTTAGGTCCTCGAAAGCCTCCATCATGTACTGCATGGCTCGCTTCAGGATCCCCTCCATCTGGTCTGACTGCTTGTCCATCTCTTCATCATTGGAAAGCAGCTCCGTCTTTTTCTTCCAAGACTTTTTCCAACCTCCATGGGTGAAGGTTATCCTTTGGGCCCTTTCTTCCCAGTCCTCTTACTTCCCGAAACTGGTTTTGTGGAGTCTTCCAGGGCAGTGGCTTCCTCTACCCAACCTGAGATGTCTTCTTCGGGACAGGCCTGGGTAGCCGACTCACTCCAATCTTCGGTCCCAGTTTTTTCTGTTTCGCTGCCATGCAGAAGCATATCATGCGCGCGCACACACACGCAGTAGGGCAGATGCCTCTCCGGGTTGGGCACTATTGCAGACCTTGCTTTATGTAAGGGTTTGCCTCAACTAGATTTCCCAAGAAAGCAGAACTCTTGAAACGGGCATTGTTTCAAAAGGAACTTTTATTGAGAGTTAGTGATAGCAATAGATCAAAGCAAGGTCTGAAGAATTTACACTTGAAAGATTATATCATAATGCCCATTCAGGACTCCTCCCTCCAGAGTCCAATCGTCCGGTAGAAATCCGCCTAATCCATAGATGCTAGGTTGTTTTGAGAACCTAGTGATTTAGTACCCATCTCAAGGTCTCTCTCCCTTTCGTTTCCCAATGGTCCCAGGATCCGTTGTCTGGAGATAAGGCAGATGTTTTCTGGCCACATTCCTTTCTCACGAAGGGAGAACGTTTCAAAGAGGACAGAGCAGAGCCAGGCAAATTCATCCCCCAGGCAGGCAGTTCCCCTCCCACCAGAATGGCAGACCCCCAAAAGGAATACACAGGCAAAGCAATAATATGCAGGCAAATACATTGAAGGGGTATGACACTTGTTTAGAACCAGCGTATCTATGACAATTCGCCATGGCCAACTCACTGTGGGACAACTCGCCACGGTCAACTTGCCACAGGACAACTCGTTGCTGGACAAAAGTTACACTAGTAACAAAGAAATGGTGGAAGAGAATCATTAAAGGATGCAAAAGGAGGGACAGAATAAAATGTAATCAACAAAAAATTAAAATATTTTTTAATTTATTTTAAATAATTAAATAGAATTGTTAAATTGTTCTGGAGTGAGTTGTCCCATGGCAAGTTGGCTGTGGCGAGTTGTTTTGCGGCACGTTGGCCACGGTGAATCGGCTATGGCAAGCTGGCTGTCGCGAGTTGGCCGTGGCAAGTCGGCTGCAACAAGTTGACTGTTCTGGCCATTCCCAGAACCAGCTATTCAATCTTTCTCTGTGCTTAATAATAATGGAGCTAAGAAAGAGGAGTTCAGTGTCATACCTTAAGGCAAAGAATCTGGATCACTCTGCCTGAAAATAAGGTTGAATGCCTTGTTGCATCAAGCTAAAAAGCATCTTCATAATACATGGTCAATATTTTGTTTACTCTTTAAATTCTGTCCAGAGTCTCACTATTTTAAATAGTTTTAGACTAATGCTGAGCATATAAATATTAATACTCTTCATTTTCAATATTGGAGGTTAGGTTTTTTCCCCTATAACAGTGATGGCGAACCTTTTAGAGACCGAGTGCCCCAAAACTGGCCCCGCCCCCGCTCCACCCCCCACCCTGCCCCCGCTCCACCCCCCATGCCTGGCTGCCATGTCCTTGGCTGCGCTGCTCCACGTGGGCCACACTCAGGGGCGACTCTCCTTCAGGGGGGCTGCTGGAGAGGAGGGGGCTGCGGGGGAGGCGAGGCTGGGACAACGGCAGTTGTGCCCACAGAAAGGGCTCCGAGTGCCGCCTCTGGCACCCGTGCCATAGGTTCACCATCACTGCCCTATAACATCTGTTCATTTTATTAGTATGTGTGAAAAATTACATGTTATGTCATTAAAACTTTTTCTTTCTCTTTTATCTTAAAAATGGAATAACAGTTATTCTTAAATTCTATAGAATATTTTGCCAGCTAATACTAATCAGTCTTTTTTTAACAAAATTTATTTGCATAGCTATAATTCATATTAATTTATATTAAATGAAATTTATTTTATAAAAATTTTTATATTAGAAATACATTTACAGGCCACCATACTCTCTCTCTTTAGTCATTTTAAGGATCGTTTAAAATTTAAAAATAATGCGGAGTTATTCAGGGATGGCTTTCTCAGCTTTCACTGAATGTACAAACAAAATATCTTCCTGTATATTGTTTTTAAAGCTACATTTTGGCTAACATGTTACATTTTTCCTACAGCACAAACATTTGGAGAAGTTATTAAGTTAGATGTTGCTGAACCCCAGCGAAAAGTTTGGGATAATAGCTCTATTGATTTTGTACTGAAGAAACTTGGGGAAGCTGAATTACAGCTTGAAACTGATCTGATGGATAACTTAAATATTACCAGTGGTAAGATTAAATTAAAGCTTTCATTTGGAGTTTTGAAATCCATACAAGGCTTATATTTTTTAATTTTTTATGAATTGTAGTCAGCAGAACATTAAATCAATCGTGCGGTTTTACTTGATTATTAAGAGAGTAAATCATCTAGCACAAAACATCTCTGCTTTGGCCTTGTATAATAGCAACTCTTGCTTTTTTAAAGCTAAAAACCATTAGCTAATACAGGGGTTTTCAAGCTTTTTCAAGTCACAGAACCTATTTGTTAATTTAAAAATTCTTGGAATCTGATCAAGAGTGATGTAACTTCTAAATGGAAGCCCCATCTTTCTACTACAGTATAACTTAGTGACTAAGAGAAAGAAAAATCTTTCTGCAAGAAGTTGGGGAGGGGAGGCTTAGTTTCTTGCTGAGAGTATTTTTCCCCATTATTTTAGTCCTACAGATTCCATTGAAATATTTGGATTTCATGGAACCTAATTTTAAAAAATTCCACCTTAATATATATTTTATTTCTGGTCAGGTAATGTTGCAAGGTTATCTGGGTCTCATTTTCAGGTATGGACATGATTAATGTGGATAAGGTATTATTTAACATGCTCGTATTTCTAGGCTGGATGTGTGTCCGACCTTTGGAGATAGTGGAACTATGACTACCTGGATCTGGGAGATGTTAGTCCTTTGTTTCAGGCCTACGCCTTGACTCTTCCTTAGACTCCCTTTCTGTTCTGGCCAACTTTCACAAGTATTATCTGTTAGAAGCTTAGCGAGAAAGTGTTTGCAAAGCACCCTGTTAGATTGTTTATTATCAATGTTTTTGTTAAGTTTCTTATTGTGGATGTTTTTATTGCTATCCTTGTGTAAGCTCCTGCAAGTCTGTATAGACAGCATACAAATAAACAAATTGCATTAGCTAAGCCACAGTTCTCCAACTTTCCTGGCCTTGTGGACCAGCAGGGGGAGGGGAGGGGGGAGAGGGGATGGTTTCATGCGAGTGGCCAGCAAACATGCACATGCAGCTCCATTTGCACAAGTGGCGTGCACACGCACCTGTCACTCACACAAATGGAACATGCATGCACATGCTTGCCTGCTGCTCGTATGTGGAGGTACATGCGTGCTGCACTCACCACTATTTCCACGGCCGGGTTGCAAACACCTCATGACCCAACTAGTGGGCCGTGGCCCAGAGATTGGGGACCCCTGTGCTAAGCAGTATGAGATACAGAATTCATAAATATACATAAAGATTTCTGGGTGTTTACTTGACATAAAAGTAGTCCTTGACTTATCACCGCAATTGAGCCCAAAATTTCTGTTGCTAAGCAAGACAGTTGTTAAGTGATGTTTTGCCTCATTTTATGACTTTTCTTGCCATAGTTGTTAAGTGAAATACTGCAGTTGTTAAGCTAGTAACAGTTGTTAAGTGAATCTGGCTTCTCCATTGATTTTTGCTTGTCAGAAGGTTACAAAAGCTGATCACAAGGTACTAGACACTGCAACTGCAATAAAATTTTTGATCATGTGACCATGGGGATGCTGCAACAGTTGTAAATGTGAAAAATGGTTATAAGTCACTTTTTTCAGTGCCATTGTAACTTTGAACGTTCATTAAAAAAATGTTTGTAAATTGATTACTATTGTAGTTTAAGAGATTGATGTTGACCTTTAAAACCTTAAATGGCTTAAAGCAGACATGTCAGACACAAGGCCCGGGGGCCGGATGCGGCTCGCGAAGTGGTTTCATGTGGCTCGCGAAGTGGTTTCATGTGGTTTCATGTGGAAACAGTGAGGGAACGGCCCCCGCTGCCTTGGCCCTGACCCAGGCTGGCCAGGAGCCAATGTACAATTTTGTGGTGGCAATCTATGCTGAAACGCATTCAGTCTTAGCTCCACAAGGCCGTCTGGAAACAGTGAGGAACCAGCCCCTGCCGCGTCGCCCCCGCCCCCTGGGTGCATGCTGGGGAGGTGTCACCCTTTGTGAAGAATGAAAAAAATGCACCATCACCTGGAAGTGGCTAGCAAATGGCCCTCGCCTACTTCACATATCTGGCTTGATGGGTTCTGGGGGAGGGGTTTCGTCAGGCAGCGGGGCGCTCTCCTCACAGTGCTGAGAGGCTAAGCCGGGCGGTGCAAATCCAAAAAGAAACGTGAGGCCACCCAGCTCCCAGCCTGCCCGGTTTCAGCAGGCAGCGGGGCGCTCTCCTCACAGCGCCAAGCGCTGAGCTGGGTGCACGAATCTGATGAGAAATGCAATGCTGCCTAGCTCCCAGGCTGCCCAGTTTCAGCAGGCAGCAAGGTGCAAAGTTGGCGAGCTTCGCACCGCCCAGCTCAACCTCTCAGCGCTGTGAGAAGAGCGCCCCGCTGCCTGCCAAAACCACGCCCATCCAGTAGGCCACACCCACTCCATCCACGCCCATCCAGTGGGCCACACCCACCTGGCCACACACCCACGCCCCCCGAGGGCAACTGCAATGCTGATGTGGCCCTCAATGAAATTGAGTTTGACATCCCTGGCTTAAAGCCTACTTGAGCAATCACTTTTTCAATCTTGAACCTGCCTGGGTTCTTAGATTGCAGGAGAGGTCTTTGGAAGATGTCCTCATTGCCAGAAGTTTAGCTATCTTAGCATGTGTGTTTGTGTGGGGGTACTTTCTTGCATGGATCCAGGGATGAATGCTTTCCCCAAGAAATAGTGTAGCACATACCTCCCAGAACTTACGTAAAAAGCAAAACTACTGTTTTTTTAATAAAAGTTTTATTAATTTTTAAATATTACAGTCTTTAGTTCTTAGTAAACAACATGTTATCTGGATTCAAATATTTAAGATTAACTTCTTCAATATAAATCTGTTCAATACTACACAATCCAGTATTTTTTCCCTGATCCTCCTTCCCCATATTTTTTTCCATTTTCCCCTCATTACACCATTACAACTTTTGGTACTGTTAGTGTATACAAAGTTAAATATAAGCATCTTAATCATATTTTACTAATATCATACAAATAATATCAATTCATAAATCAATAATTTCAATTCATCAATATCCTGCTTTTCGTGCTCTTATTAAGGTTTGATTTCCCATCAGTATTTGAAATATCTTTTATCAGTTATGATTTTCTCAATATTAATTACATTTATATAGCTAAAAGTTTTATTCAAATCAATTCTCCTCTTATCTTCATGTTTCCCAAATCCAAAAAAAGAGAAGAAAAAAAATGCTATCTTAATTCTAAATTATATCTTTCATGATAAAAGTCTAATTATATCTAAGGGTCATCCGTTCTTTTAATCTTATTCAAACAAGTATTTAAACATATAATGCCCCCTCTAAAAGGTCAAATCTTCTGTTTTTTAAATGTGACTCTCGCTTTCTTTCTTTGCCAAGTCACTTTCCAAGTCAGGGCAATTAGATCGCCCAGGAATTTTCTTTCTATTTTTCTAAAAATTGCTTGGCACGAGGAAGACAATTTAGGTGGGGGGGGGGAATTCCACCCATTTATATTCCTTAAACAACTCCTAATTCCTTTCTCCCTCCATTTCTCTTTTCATTCCATGTCTCCCAAGTTGTGACATTTTCCTTAATAGCTCTATATTCCCTTTTTTAAAATCTTCCTTGCCATCAGATATATTTTGCAGGCCTAAGGGGTAAAGGGTCTTTTGCATTTTCATTGTTATAGCTAAGTCTTGCAATATTTTGTTTGTATATAGTCATTTATGTTTCCCTTCTTTTATCTCTTCCATCTCTAAATCCATTTCCTCTGTTATGTCTTCTGATTTCTGGATTATTTGTTCATACTTTGTAGTCGTTATCTGGGAACTTTCTAGTTGTAGATTTAATTTGGAGATTTGCTCATTTATATTGTCTAAATTGTTTTTAGTCTCATTATGATTTCTTTTTATGTCCTCTTTGCATTCAACAATTGTTTGGTGAATTAGTTGTAGCATGGAATATATTTCCTTCTGAAAAGTGTTTGTTTTTTCTTGAGGCATCGTTCCTGGAGATCCTCTAGTATCACCAGTCTCAGTAAGAGTAGATAAAAGTTTCCTCTAATTTTCTGTATCCTTTATAATTCAATAGATTCCAGAGTATAGGTTCAGTCCTGAAAGCAATATTTTATAGTGGTCCTTTGTCTCAAGTATCCAAAAATTGTCAATGAGGCAAGGTTGTATCCACAATGTTCAAAGTGTTCAAAATGTTCAACCTCTCTGAAAACAGCTCAAAAGTCTCTCCCAGCCAGGCACAGTCCAAGGTCAATTTTTTCTTTCTCTCCCACTAGCTCTTGAAGTTAAAAGTCCAAGCTCAGTAGGTTTTTATAATCCAAGAAGGTCAGGGTGATGAGTATGCCAAAATATTGTCCTTTATTGCCAGCTGTTCTCCCAAGCTAGGAATAATGCTATACCCAAATCCATTACTAGATGTCATTCAAAGTCCATTTTCCACTCTTAAAACAAAGGTTTGATTTCTTATATTTCTTCTTAATGTTTTTTTTCAAAGAGAAAATCTTAACAGTTATCTCAGTTCTCAAATTTATCAAAGCTGTGGCTTTATGTTACTTCCACTTCAATATTGTATGTTTCTGTCCCCCATAGAATTAAAACGCCACTTCCATTTACATTCTGAGGTTTTTAGTTTCTTGGGAGCCTTTCCCAGGAAATTATGTTGTAAAATAATAAAGAAAGGATCTATATTCTCACCCAGTTCCAAACATGCTGTTTACGAGTAGTAAGTAGTGCTTTTTTCTTCTTCGGTTGTCAGCTCCTAATGGCTGGCCACAGGAATGTAGCCGGTCTTTCCCCTGCTGGTTTGGAGGGCTTTCCTTGGATCGAACGGAAAGACCGCTGTCTCTCCATAATCAACAAGGCACCCCTCCTCTTCATCGCCTCTTCGGGGCAATTTTAGGCCCTTTTTAGGGCCTCCAGCAGGGCGAAATCGGGTGCGGAAGGCAGAATCCTGTCTTCCTGCGTCCCGTCTCACCACGACGCAAACTGGAAGTCAAAAATTACTGTTTTTGTCCAAAGTGTTAACTGCTAAACTGATTTTGATTTCTGGATTTTAAATGAATGAAAAATGTTTTTGCTATTAAATTTATTCTTAAACAGTAGTATCTAGATCAGAGTTTAAGTTATACCTTAGTTAATTAAAGATATTCATTTTTACTTAACAGAGACTTGAGAATTTCTTTTAAATTCCAAGGTGGGATAATATCTGGTTTTTTATACAATTGCAGTACAGTTTCTTAAGTTTTTTTTAAATAATATGGATTAAAAATGCAGTTTCTGAATGCTGAATGCTATATTTCATGATTGCTGAAAGGAATTCAGTAAGAAGTATGTTTCAAATGATAACATTGTTGTTTTTCTTTAGAAGTGTCAAAGACAACTTTAACAGTAGGAAAAAGCGATGATACTAGAGCAGTAATTTCTGTTGAAGGAAAATCATCTATTGAAGCTGATAATAATGAAAATATGGCAAAAGCAAGACTTCATGGATCTGAGTTAGCCCATTTATCACCTGAACCTACTCTGATGGAAGGTGTGTCTTGCCAATTCTCAATTTAAGTATATTTAAACATATTATTCTAATCAAGCAGGAAAAATACATTAAAGAAGTTTGACAAGAATTTGTTACTTGTATGAAACCTTGCAATCCATCTAACTGTTTTATTCCAGCATAACTTTGGTCCTGATTGATTGTACAAGAGCATTATAATTATATTTATTTCTTATATTTTTATTCTTCTGTCTTGTTTCTGTTGTTCTTATTGTAAACTGCCTAGGACGTCAGTGCATTGGGCTAGTTGACAAATGCTGTTACAGGTAATCCTCAAGTTACGACCATAACAGAGCCTTATCTGTGATGATCATAAAGTGAGTCACCCAGTGACCAACCCAATTTCACTACCTTTTTTGTGGCGGTTACTAAGAGAATGTGGCAGTCATTTGCTGTGGGGCATTTTTGCCAAAAATAGGAACTAACTGGCAAAAGCTTTGTAAATAACTGTTGTGATTCCATGATACTGAAAACAATCCTAAATGTGCTAAGCCAGTGATGGCGAACCTTTTAGAGACCAAGTGCCCAAACTGCAACCCAAAACCCACTTATGCATCGTTGGGTGCCGGGTGGGTGTGGCCCATTGGTTGGGTGTGGCCCATTGGGTGGGCGTGGCTGCGGTGGTAACGGCAGACTGGGTGGGACTAAAAAGTTCAATCAATCAATTCCAACTTTGCAAGATCTTTTTTTTTCCTGCGAGAAGTTGAAATTGACTGATTGATTGAACCTTTTTTTTTTTTTTTTTTGCACACGGCAGTGGAGGCCTAAAGCGAAAAGGTTTTATAAAACCCAGCTGAAGGCCTAGGACTGGGGCGATGGCACGCGTGCCCACAGAGAGGGCTTTGAGTGCCACCTCTGGCACCCGTGCCATAGGTTCGCCACCACTGTGCTAAGCACTCAAAATACAATCATTTGACTGGAGGGGGAGCTGTTGGGACTTTGGAATTGGATCATAAGTAGAGTGAGAGGTCTGTTGTGAATTTGAATGGTTGTTAAGCAACTAGTCGTAACTTGAGGACTATATATAGTTAAATCATTCAATCAGCCATAACTGAAACGTGTAACACAGAAGAATTTAATAACATTTCATATGGCATTTTTAAATATGACTTGACTGGTTATAACTTACTAGTGCTATTTTTGAGTGCTGTTAAAGATTTTTAAATGATAGTCATGCATAATATTTCAAAACAATTTATGCCCTCCTACTTAATTTGCTGTGTGCAAACATCTTCAGAAGATCTAAAACTTTTTCCCACAGATGATTTGGAAGCAGAATTTCTAGAAGAAACCCAAAGAAACAAATGTCAAACAGATATATTTCCTGTTGCTGAAGTGTGGGTTAATGAAGGAAAAGAAAAGGAAACAATGTAAGTCCCCATATTTTAACTACCTCCATTTGAAAATCAATTTTTGCAAACTAATAATAAACTATTTGCTTTTTTCCCATGGTTGTGATGCTCCCACAGGTCAGAAGTTCATACTGATAATTGTCACTATGACGACAACAAAGATCTTGCTATAGAAGATGGAATTCATAAAAAAATGCCAATCCATGATGAACCATCAGTAGGTCAGCACTTGCAGTTGTTTAAAGCAAAACTTCCCCACATTTTTGGACTGATTGGTACATTTGGAAATTTCAGAACACTTGTGGGTATAGTCATAAAATGGATGCTATTAGAGAATTTTCCCAAAATAGCTGGCATGTCACTAGTCACAAAAGCACTGAGAATATATTCACGATCCCTATTTAGCTTTATGTTATTAGAGGGCTGGTGATCATTGGGCAGTAGTCATCTACCATTTCTATCTTGTAGGAACATTTATAGATTTATTTAATGCCCAAATGCTTTCCTAGAAATGAAGACATATGAAGATTCCCTCATCTTAGTTAATTTAGCTAATTCTCTGTTAATTCTAATGCTATATCTATTGTTTACTGTTATTATAATATTGTTTTATATTGTAAGCTGCCCAGAGTCCCATAATATAATAATAATATAATAATAATAACAATAATAATGTATTTTGCAGCATGAGCTTCCCATGCATGTGTATTGCACATACACAATACACATGCATGCACACAAGACACATTTAAAGTACCAATAAAAGAGAATATTTGTAGCTCAGGATTGAAATGAGGGTGACTAGCACTGATGATGTTACCTAGTTTGAGTAATGAAACATCTGCAAGAAAACATCCAAGCTCAGAGAGCACCAAAGACTCCTCACATTTAAACTGTTCCTTCTGGAAGGGAATATGGTGGGCCATAAGACATCCTTACATAAACTAATTGACATCCTTAGGCCTTAAATCCTTAGGTAAAAAGAAACTGGGTTGGATGTGTCTGGATATTTATTTATTTAAGTACATTTATACGGCAACCAATCTTCAGCAAATCTAGGCAGCTAACAATATTAGAAACGTAATAAAACAATTATAATAATACGATGGCAGATGAGAAAACATTTGCATGCTTAACAATCATCTCCTGATCCGCATGCCTAGATAACAACCAGGTGTAAAGGCTTTTCAGAATGCTAGTTGGAGCCAGCCACACCCACATTTTTTTTTATGTTGTTTCAGTATAAATAGGAAACCTGTGTAATAAAATCCACTTGCCTGAAAATAAACTCTTGCGATCTGAATGTTCTTAAGGAACAGAACTGTCAGCAGAATCTTGTCTTTAAATCTGATTCTCTCTGATCAGTACAAGGATTTAGGAAGAAAAAAATTCAGATGACACAGAAAAGAGATCATGTGATGACTGAAAGAACTCTTCCTTTTGCCATTTATCCTGCTGAAAAATCTCAGTTTTTTCACACATAGATTTTCATAGTCTGTAGTGGTGTGGAGGACAGTTATTTTTTATTGTTTAATTTCAAGGAATTATGAGTTAAGCACAAATTTTAAAAATTAATTATAGAAATCTAACTACTGTAGTTACAATGAAAATATTGTAAGACTTTGATAAGATATCTTTAAGCTATTAAAAGAGGTATTTGTAAGAAGACTGTCTTAAGTACTGGAAGCGCTATTAGAAATTATAAATAAATAAAAATGCAATAAATGTTATGTAAACTAAGTCTGGAATCTTTTACACAGGATAGTTGATAATAGTAATTCTGATAACAAGGAGAGAAAGAATCTAGTTGAACAGTCTTTTAGAATCGACTTTACCTGCTTTTGTTCTTTCTGTATGGCTGTCAGATGTAATGAGCCCAAAACTTGGGAGTGATAATTATTTCTCTTGAGCTGAGCAACAATTCTTATTTCAACAGTGCTGCAGTAGAAACAGTCAAGAATTAGAAAGAACCAAATTTGATTGATAGAACTTCTTAACATTCATTAGGTAGATAAAATGTAATGACTTGAACAAAAAATTACTGAAGTTAACTGACAACTTGAAAAAAATATGATTATTTTAGATAGGCAGGGAATGCTGATGCATTGTTTTAATAACAATGTATTCATATTTTAATTCTAAAATGCTTGCTAAATATAACATTCCTTCAAATGTCTGAATCATGTCATTCTTTTATTTAATTGGAGCTCTTAAACTGTTACTATTGTATATGTATTTGTAAAATAATTTGGTCTTTATCATACCAGAGACCAACAGCCCTGCCCTACCTGAACCCTTTTTTCAGAAGGTCCAGGAACACCAAGCAAGACTAGTAGCTTTTCCAGTTCTTTCAGCACAGTCTTCCTTTGAAGATTCTCTTCCTACAAGGTCATGCTCTGTATCACCAGAGAAAACAAAAGGCAAAAATTCAGTGTTGATAGGGCTTTCTACAGGTCTGTTTGATGCAAACAACCCAAAGGCAAGTGTTAAAATCTTTAATATCTTTCACAATCTAAATCAGAGGTCCCCAACCTTTTGGGCACTGGGGACCGGTTCCGTAGAGAAAGGTTTTTCCGTGGACCAGAGGGTGTGTAGTTTTGTATGCTGCCTGCATCTTGCGGATGGGACTTTACTTGTTTGTGCGGACTGCTGACAACCTGTACAGCAGGGGTTTCCAACTCCTGGGATACAGATTGGTATCAGTCTGTGGCCCGTTAGGAACTGGGCTGGAAGTGAGCTATGGGCAAGGGACAAAAACAAAACCATTCCCTCCCCCCCCCGTCCATGGAAAAATTGTCTTTCACAAAACCAGTCCTTGGTGTCAAAAAGGCCACTGCTGTACAGTACGAGAATTACATACAAAAGTTTTCATATTAAAAAGACATTTTGTAATGTTGGAAACAGATGGCATTCTGGGAAATTATGTTTGAAATAGAAATTTTATTTAAGAATTTAAAAGTTATGAAAAAGTTATAATGTTTATTACGTGATAAACAGTTCATTACATTATATATTGTTATAAACTTTTATTACATAACTAGCTGTACCTAACCACGCGTTGCTGTGGCTCAGTCTGGTAAAAGCGTGTGTTGCTTTTACGTCCAACAGATGGCGCTGTTTTTCAAAAACATGTTTTTACCTGTCACAGGTGTGACATCTATATAATATAGGTATATAAAAACATGCGCGTATTCGAATGCAACGTTGTGTCAAAATTTCAAAGCAATCGGTGAAGAACTTTCGGAGATTTAAGATTTTGAACAAACGAACATTTACATTTTTATTTATATAGATGAGAAAAAATCAGTTTTGTCATGAAAACTGATACAGTTTAACCTATTCTATTAACAACCTATAACTTCTTCTCATTGCCAAACAATATAGTTGCTTCATTCTTAGAGATAGAGAAATAAAAATAAATTTACTTTGTTATAATATTTTATATTCAAATCTTGAAAAGATTCTGTTATCTTGTTATAAGCTTTGCTTTTTTATTTAATCTATTCATGTAATGCATTCTTTCATTTCAGTTGCTGAGGACATGTTCTCTTCCAGATCTTTCAAAATTATATAGAACATTAGTTGATGTTCCCAGTGTTGCTGATGTCCAAAATCAAGAGAATCTTGAAATTGATGATGTGGAAGATGTACCAATTAAAGAACATTCAGATTCTGAAGAAATGTGAGCTATTCTACTTCATTAAAAGTATTTAGAGAATGTGTTTGCCAAAGTTTTCATGAGAATTCATTCATCACTAGTTGTAGAATACTTTAAAGTGTTTTATTGGCGAAATTGGTATGTAGTAATCACAGAAGGGTGATCACCCATAGAATGGCTGAGAAAGGAAACTGAATGTCTGTTGCTGCAAAAGACGTTCTGAAAGTGAACACAAAAGATTTTGAGAAACAGGCAGAATGTCTACAGACTTAGACACCGTAACAAGTTTTCATTTATGCATTTTGTTATCTTCATTATCAATGATAGCAGGGCTTGCTGAGCTTATAGGTCAGGGGTGTCAAACTCGCAATGTCATGTGACGTGTCACGACATTTCGTGACTCTTTTTCCATTGCTGGCAATGGGGTAGGCACGGTTTCGGCATGATGCCACCCACGGGCCGGCTGAAGGTCTTCCCTGCCTGCCCCTCCACCTCAGCCTTCTGAGTCTTCATATCCTGGATCCACTTGATCTTTGATATACTGGCTTGGTCATTCTTACCAAGAGTCTCCTTCCATGGCATCCATCTCCTAAAAATGGTGTGAGAGTTAGGGCTCTCAGAACTTGTGCTGTCTTTCTGGTAATTAGCAGGTAACAGGTAATTAACAGGTAAACTTATATATTAAAATGTCAACATACTTTTTGTAGCTAATAAATGAAGACCTATTCCAATCAAAACAGCAACTTTAAAAGAGAAATAACAAAAGAATCTCCACTACTTTAGAAAGAACATAAGATGGTAATGGGTCTGTTACACGTTTTAGAGAAATTGGAATGAGATTTCAATTTATTCCAAACCACAAAAAATCTTAAGAGAAATTATTTCCTCTGGCACACTCTGGGATATGCATAAAAGTACAGAAAATTATTGAGCTGGCAAATATAAATTATATAAAATGAGGGTTCAAAACAACACACAAAAGCAAAACAATCATCTGAATTTAATCTAACAACTAGTTAAAACATTTTTATATAATATTTTATTAGTTTTCTAATTTTACAATCAAGTATTTAAAAAGCAACATGGTGACTGGGTTAATCAATAGTTCAATAACATACATACATCTTTAGTATAAATCTCAAGTTACAACATCAAATATTTCCTCTCTTTTCCCCTTAATATCTACTATCTCATATTAGGCTAATACAGTTCTTATTGTTATCAATTAAGTAAAAACATCTTTGTTACATTTATCAATAATTTTTAGCTTATACATATCTTAATTGTGTTTGCACTCAATCCTTATATACAATCAATGTCCTGTTATTGCTTACTTCCCAAGCTTTAATTTCCAGTCAATATTCAAATTAACATTTGGTATTTATAATTTCCAAGCTTTAGATAACCAAAGTTTCCCTTATCTCAACTTCTTCCTTTTTCCCTTTTCATAACAAAATCTAATATTCTAAATACACATCTTATCTATTTGAATATAGTCTTATTCTGTTTTCTAAAAGTTATCTATTTTCCACCATATTAAACCATCTAATTAATAATACAGTATACCCTATAATAAATCAAAACCATTACATGTATTGTCTGGGTTAACCAATAAATCAGTAATATACATACATTTTTTCCTTTAGGTCTAATTTTTAAAAGCTCAAATACTCCCTCTCTTTTTCTGGTAATATCTATTATCTCATATTGGGCAAACAGAATTCTTATTTTCAACTGATTTCCAAATATTTTATATTAGGTGACCAAAATTTCCCTTATCTCAACTTCTCCCTTTTCCCTTTTCATATCAAAGTCTATTAGTCTTGTTACACATCTTACCTATTCAATTATAATGTTACTTTATTTTCTAAAAATTATCTATTTTCCACCATATTCAATCCTCAGTAATATGAAATCCCCTCTAATAAATCAAAACCCTTATTTTCTTCAGTCTTACTCTGGCTTTCTTCCTTTGCCAACTAACCTTCCCTGTCAATGCTTCTGAATCGTCATAGTTCTCCCTCTATTATTATATATATTATTTGGAATAAGAAAGAACAGTTGGTTGTAGTTTTTTTGGAAGAACTAGCCCATTTGTATTCATTAGATCACCTCCCTATTACTCCAATTTCCCACAATTGTCCTGGTAGGTTATCTTCCATTCAATCTGTTCTTCCTTTTCCTCAAATTTCTTCTGATTTTTGTAAAAAGTCTTTTCCACTTTCAGTGTTGTCACTCCCTTTTCTGATTTTTCCGTTGGCTGAATCTGTTGGTCAGTTGAGTCCTCTGTCTTAGTATTTAGTTGTTCCACTTCTGTTATTTTCTGCATTGTTCTTTGGTTGTAGTCAAGATCTGTGTTTGTATATTTAAGCTGGCATCTTGTTCCTTGATGTTGCATCTTATTTTGTCACAAGCTGAAAGAATGGTTCCGTGGATTTCAACATGGAAAGGATTTTTTCCTGATCTTTATCCATATTATCTTGATAGTATGTTAAGTTGAAGACTTTAGAATCAAACTTTAAGAATAGTTTTTTGTTTTTTATAGCTAGGTATGGGACATCTATTTCATGTATTATAGGTGGCCTTTATAGTAGAAATTGTTTGTCAAGTAAGAGTTTATAGCCCAAGGTATTCCATCATCTCCTGTGATAACATATGCTTCTCATGTAAAGAAATAGGAAAGCAATTCCCCACGTATAGCTCTGAAAGTCAGTAAAAGTTTACATTCATAATTCAAACAAGTCAGATATGCTGCCCAAAAGTTCCTTCTTTGCAGCTGAGATTTTCACAGGTGGTAGCTGTCAAGGTTAGAGAAGTTTTTCTGGCTTCAAGCCAAGTCTCTTTTAAACAATAACAGGTTGTAATTCCATACTTCACCATAAGATGTCTGTTCAAAGTTTTTTAACTCCAAAGTTTTTATGATAGTTTTTCAAGTCTTATTTCTTTTTTTTAGATAAAAACAAACATCTCCAGTAAGAACAGGAAAACTTTTCGTCCCCAAGTTTCATAAGCATATACATCCAATTAGATTAAAATTGTTCTTACAGTTGCTCTTTTTCCCTGGTAGTTAGTCGCCGCTGTTCTTAGAGGGTGGGGTAGAAATTCCCTTCCCTCTCTCCTCACAGGGGGAAAAATACTTTGGGCAGCTTTTACAGAAAAAAGTACTTAGAGTCTTAAAGAGAAGATCAGATCTCACCCAGTTTCATCCGCGTTGCTTTAAAGATGCTTGGTGGTGATTTTGACTTCAGCTGTCAGCAGCTTAGTGACGAGCCATATTGCTATGGCCGGTCTTTCCCCCACCGGTTTGGAGGGCTTCCCCGGATCCAACGGAAGGGCCACCACCCTCCTGTGATCAAGCAGGGGTCCCCTCCTTGCTCGTCGCCCCTACAGGGTGACTTTTGACCCTTTCCAGGGTCCCCCAGCAGGACGAAATCGGATGCGAAAGATGGAGCTCGTCTTCCAGCATCCGCAGCACCGCAATGGCAAACTGGAAGTCAGCTAGTTAAAAACATATTGACTTACTTCTATCGAAATAATAATTTTTCTTGAATTTCACTGCTTCCTTTTAACTGGGCTTTACTTTTTCTCTGGAAATTCCAATCTTTAACCTTCATTCAGAAATGGTGTTAATCTCTTTTCTCAGTTTTAGTCCAGCAACAATTTCTTAATTTCTTCATCAACTTCTGCTCAGTGTTTAAAATAATTCAGATTTTTCCTTCTCAAAGACAGAGCAATATACCTTTTGTGTATGTCAGAAGCCACCTTCATTCAGGAGATGTACTGTATATTTAAACTAAGATACTGGTTAGCATGTAAGTTGATGTCAGGTATTAGTTGTGAATGTGAAGGTTTGCAACTCACATTCTCATCAAAGTAGTACATCCAGTTGCACAGTTATTTGTGAATTTCTTGGTTTATAAAGCAGTTCTTAAATATTCAAAACCTATGACTTGTAACAGCTTGTATCCGTTCTCCTTTGTCTCAGTGGCTACATACCATTTTTGTTTCGTAAAAGCTAATTATTTTATTCATGGAGAGAAATAATCACACTTAATTAAAATCTTTCTTGTGTTCTTTTTGCAAAATGGTTGAGAAATTCAAGTTTAGAATTTGGGATTTTCCATTTATTTGTCATAATCACACACTCTGTCCTGAAATAGCAACTTGTTTGCTCACATATATCATATTTCAGAAAATTTCTCTTCTTGTTAAGGCCTAAGCAGGCCTCTCTGCTAAGTTCTATCTGTATGACAATGAGACAAAGAATGAAGTTTTCAATTATGACTCCTTTTAAGCTGAGAAAGCGAAGATAACTAAGATTGTATTGGCTTTTCTTTGTCAGTCCAACTTACTTGCACTTCCTATTATTGATTTCAGTGTTAAAATGGTTCTACTTCTAAAGCAAAGAACCTCAACTGTTTGAATCCATAAGACTGAAGTTAAATTGAATAAATGGAAAAGAAATTATCTGTAAAATGTTCAGTATTCATCTCAGCATAATTAAGGTCCAATTCATGTGATACATTTCAGTCTATAGCATATTTACTTCTATAAAGCTGTTCACTTGAACAAGATCCAAAACTAAATTTATGAATGAGTTGATCACTTATATTTCCCATATCTGTTTAATATTTCTAGTGCAAAATACTTTTCTGATTATTATCCACATGATCAGATAAGGGTGTAATTTGCAAATCATATAAAATATCCATAGAGTGATTTTAGTGCAGTAACTACATGACAGAATAACCTCATGGCACAGTCTTTGTTGTCTATGATCAGTATTAGCTATTATTGTGGATAAAAAAACATACTTTGCAGTTTTAGCTTCAACATTTCTGAAAAATTTATTCTCTTGATTAAAGTAATAGCAAAAAACATTGTGTTACAGTATTTTTGGGGAGACAGATACAGATTTGCAAGAGCTTCAGGCATCGATGGAGCAGTTACTTCGAGAGCAACCCAGTGATGAATTTAGTGAGGAGGAAGAAACAACATTAAAAGCTGAATGCCAAGAAAATGATACAGAGGTGGAGGAAGATGGCAACAATTTCAGTAGTGAGAGTGCTTTTAATGAAGAATGGCATTCAGGTAAGCTTCAGTTCTGTAATTGTTTTATAGAAAGCTATGTCTGAAAGTTTGTGAGTCAGTCTTCACCTTGTATGATGTTTAAACAAAATTAACGTCAAGAACAAATCATTAGGACTATGTTGAGATAATTGAACTATTGTTGTCCATGTAGATAATTGCAAAATGGCCATTAAAAAGAGAATAGTGTAATACAGGGCTTTTCAACCTTTTCACCCATTGTGGCACTTTTAGGATATGGCAATATCCGAGTACCACCAGTCGCCTAGCAAGGTGTCAAAAACTTGATGACCAAAAAAAAACAAAAGGAAAAAAGTGATAAAGTACAGGTAGTCCTCGACTTACAACAGTTCGCTTAGTGACTGTTCAAAGTTACAATGGCACTGAAAAAAGTGCCCCCAAAGCACAGCTGAGCAAGACACCTGCCTGCCTGCCCGGCCACGCTCTTCCTCCTGTCCGAGGTTTTCATTGTTGTGAGCATTTTTGTTGAGGATTGGCAGCGGGGGTGGGGTGTGGGGTGTGTGGTTTTTATTCCCCCCGTCTGCTGGGTGGTTGCAGCAGGTTTTGGTCACTTCACATGACCCTGGGACACTGTGACCGTCATAAATATGAATCAGTTGCCAAGCATCTGAATGTAAATCACAAGACCCTGGAGATGCTGCAACATTCCAGCTGATTGGCGCTTCTTCTGGGCTCAGCAGAAACGCCAGGATCAGCGCTGAGCTCCAGCTGGAGCCTGGTGCTGATCCTGGCGCTTCCACTGAGCCCTGACAGTCCCGAAGAAGCGCTGATCCTGGCGCTTCCGCTGAGCCCTGACAGCCCTGCAGCTCCAGCCATCTCTCGCTCAGGCTTGTGCGGTGCTGCCAACGGTTCAGCTCATTCCCATCCCCCACTACCACTTTTCTTGGATGGTCGTGTACCACCTGCCAGGTGCCAATGTACCACAGGTGGTACCCATACCACTGGTTGAAAAGCCTTGCTCTAATATAGATTGCCCATTACTACAGATGTGAATAGGAATGTTCTTAAAACAGATCATACTGGTCCAATATACCACTGCATATTTAGGACTAACAGGTCAGCATCTTTCAAAACTGATGTTTCTAATTTTATACAGTAGTGCAACAGTTTACAGGTAGTGAATGTCTTATCACATTTGACTTTGAGATTTGTGCAAAGCGTGAAAATTGTTGAAGGTGTGTATAGTCTTAAGTTATTTAATTGGATATACAAAATAGTTACGAAATATGGCAAATATTTGAAGATTTTTCACTATGATAATGGGAAAAAATTATTTATTTTCCATTGGTTATAATCAATCTCAAATATTATGTCCAGTTTTAGACATGACACTTTAAGAACAATTCAGAAAAATTGCTAAAGACTCAAAGAAGATTAAAAGTTAAAACTTATGAAGAGAGATGAAAATAACTGAGGATGTTTAGATACAAGGGTGGAAATTCATCCTTCAGATACCTGAAAAGATGTTGCAAGTAATTCAAGACTTGTTCTTTCACATTCCAAGTACAGGGCATGGAATAATAGATTTAAGTTACAAGAAATTAGATTTTGATTGACTGTTGGTAAAAATAATTAACACAGCATTTAAATTATCCAAAGCTGGTGGATAGCTCTTAATTGGATGGGTTTCAGCAGAAGGTAGACAGTTGCCTGTATGCTTTAATTTTTATTCCTGTTCTGAGTGGAGAGTAGAATTCAGTGCCCTTCAGGGTCCTTTTCTGATAGATGATTTTAATATTATAACATTTCTTACATTCATTAGTGCTATTTTATAGTGAGCAAACCTTTAATAAATATTGCCATAGGAAAACCTGTTTGTGTTGCTCTGTCACCAGAATTCCATTGTGCAGTTAAGTGGGAATTACTTAATATAATCACCTGAAAAAGATCTGATGAAATTCAAGGCAGCACAATTTAAAGAATATTATTTACAATATACATGTCATGTCCTCAAAGAAAATCATTGTTTCTCTATGCCTATTCCTGAATCTGTAACCTTTCTTTATGGCCTGCCATTCTGTTGGGAGGGGGGATGCTTTGCACTGTCTTGCTATTGTACCCTTCCCCCAGGGGACGGAATGTATCACCCTTATCCGAGAGACGGTTGCGCTTGGAGCCAGAAGGAAATGAAAGCAAGAGAGACCTTGAAAGAATACACCAAAGAACCCAGTTACCAAAGCACTATGCCACCTATGGATTGGCTGGAATTCAAATGAACACTGGGACTCTGGGGGGAGGAGTATTGAATATTGCTTTTAATATACTGCTTTCGTGGGTTTTCCTCAGACCTTGCCTTGTTTTCCCTGCTATCACTAGCCCCTAATAAAAGTTCCTTTTGAGACAATGCCGGTTTCAAGAGTTCTGCTTTCTTGGGTGGTTTAGCTGAGGTAAGTCCTTACATAAGGCGAGGTCTGCATAGTGCCCAGCCCAGAGAGGCAGCTGCCCTACCGAGGTGGGTCGCAACTGATGTGCCCTTTCCTCGCAGCAAAATGGAAGAGGGCAAAATGGAAAGCTGGAGCAGAGATATTGCTCTGGCAGACCCCAGGGAATGCACTTCCAGGGACCTGGGAGTGGCGGAACCCTTGGCAGAAGGTGATCAAGCTAGGTGGTCGCTCAGGGTCAGAAAGAAAGAACACTAGGAAGGAAAGGCTCAGAAAATAACTGTCACACAAGGCAGAGGAAAGAAGAAAGCAAAGAAGAAAAACCAAGAGCCTACCTCTCTTGAAAAGGAACTAGTGGATCTGAATTCAGAAATGATGAAAGCAGTCTTAAAGCAGACAATGGAATATGTGCAAGAGTCCTTCAAGTTACTAAAAGCCCAACTGAAAGAGCAATCGGAATCAGAGGAAGAAACAGGAGGAAGCTGGTAAAGAGCTAACGGGGCCTGCGGTGGCGGCTGGCCCCCCTGCAGTAGCGGCACAATGGGTATGACCGCCCCAAAGACCCAGAGGGGCTGTACTCCAACCGGCGGAGGTGAAGCCAATTCCGTTGGGGGTGAAATTCAACGGCATCCCAAGAGATTGGGCTTTTTCCTAGCCCAGGTATTCACCTACATGCAGATATACAGGAGAACACTGAGGAGAAAGAGTGATCACCCTAGCACTGGAAGACACTGCTGCTGACAGGATGGTGACCCTCTACAACAGCAATGCTCCAGAATTAGGAAATTTTAACCGGTTTATGGCAGCCCTCCAACACCACTTCAAAGATTGCCCAGCAGACCAGAAAGCCCATGACTGCATAAAAACAGTGAAGCAAGGGCGACGATTAGTAGCTGAGTACATGGAGGAATTCCAAGTTGGCCAGCTGCTTAAACCGGTCAGAAGACATCCTGGTGAGCTATTTCCAAGATGACCTGAACAAAGACGTGTACAATGCCTGTGTAGCCCGTGGAGCCTCCTGGCAGAGAAGGTGGAAATAGATCAACGCAAAATCAGCACTGCCCGGTGAGAACCAGCTTCAATCCAACGCCTGAGAGGAGAGGTGAGACTGTACGGGCAACACTGACCCCACCCCACTCCATGGCGTGCTTCAAATGTGGAAAGGAAGGGCATCGAACAGTCAACCGCAGCAAAGGATCAGCGAAGAAAGGTGACCATCAACTGGCGGGAAGACCCACAAAAGCCACACCGCACCCAAGGGAGCTGGTGATACTGTTTGAGGAGTCCGTAGAGCTCCCCTGGGCCCTCAGGGTAGAGGGTCAAGCTCCAACTCCACCAAATGATGACCTGGGGGTGGTGGAGAGTGACTACAAGAATGACCTCTTGGTAAGTGGGCCGATCGATCCCCTAACCATGCCCTTAGAACTGTCCATACCAGGCACCGGTAAGAGAATAAAATTAGCAGCTTCACTGGACTTGGGATGCACCTACTGCTTAATCAGCTCAAAGCTGGTAGGGAAGTTGGGAATACCTCTCAGGAGAGTCAAGACTCCAATCACCTTTGGCAGCTCGATGGGTCGGTTGCAGGGGGGATCCCCGCCAATTTTGCCACCAGACCCTTGCAAATCTCCATGGGAGACCACTCAGAGACTTTAGTGTTTGTGGTGTCCCCCGTCATGGAATGGCCGCTAGTGCTGGGCCTAGCATGGATAAAAAAATGGAACCCCATGGTAAATTGGAGGGAGGGGTGCCTGAAATTCCTAAAGAGGACCCCTCCCCCATTCAGAGAAAAGAGTGGGAGGCATGGACTATGACACGAGTTAGGCTCTGCCCTCAGCGAGCAGGAGCTGCAGAGCCTCCCACCAGAATACAGGGACTTAACTGAAGTGTTCAGCGAGCAAAGATCGCCGACCCACAGACAGTGTCATTGAAATTGTCCCAGGACAAAACTCCCAAAGTCAAAAATGTACTCCATTGAACGAATTGAACGAACTTCGCAAGTTCATTGACAAAAATTTGGCGCAGGGGATCATCCAGCCTGCCAGATCCTGGGTGGCTACCCCCGTGCTATTCAGAGAAAAGAAGGATGGTCACTTCGTCTCTGCATTGATTGTAGGGGTCTGAACGGAATGTGTGTGGAGAATATGTACCCCCTCTCCCAATGAGAGACATGCTAGCGCACCTGTTGAAAATGAAAATTTTCTCTAAACTAGACTTATAGGACAGGGCTTTTCAACCAATGGTACGGGTACCACTTGTGGTACATTGGCACCTGGCAGGTGGTACGCGACCATCCTAGAAAAGTGGTAGCGGGGGAGGGGAATGAGCTGAACCGGTGGCAGCACCGCACAAGCCTGAGCGAGAGATGGCTGGAGCTGCAGGGCTCTGCGGAAGCACCAGGATCAGTGCCGCTTTCCAGCTGATCAGCGCTTCTTCGGGGCTGTCAGGGCTCAGTGCAAGCACCAGGATCAGCGCCAGGCTCCAGCTGGAGCTCAGCGCTGATCCTGGCACTTCTGCTGAGCCCAGAAGAAGCGCCGATCAGCTGGAATGTTGCAGCATCTCCAGGGTCTTGTGATTTACATTCAGATGCTTGGCAACTGATTCATATTTATGATGGTCACAGTGTCCCAGGGTCATGTGAAGTGACCAAAACCTGCTGCAACCACCCAGCAGATGGGTGGAATAAAAACCAAACACCTCCCACCCCACCTCCGCTACCAATCCCCAACAGAAATGTTCACAACAATGAAAACCTCAAACAGGAGGAAGAGCGCCCCTGGGTGGGCAGGCAGGTGTCTTGCTCGGCTGTGGCTTGGGGGGCACTTTTTCCAGTGCCATTGTAACTTCGAACAGTCATTAAGCAAACTGTTGTAAATCGAGGACTACCTGTACTTTATCCCTTTTTGGGGGAGTCATCAAGTTTTTGACACCTTGCTAGGCGACTGGTGGTACTCGGATACTGCCATATCCTAAAAGTGGTACAATGGGTGAAAAGGTTGAAAAGCCCTGTTATAGGAGGCGTACTATCAAATAAGGATATGCAACAGGGATGAATGGAAGACCCCTTTCAACTGCCCCATGGGCTGTTTCCAATTCAAGGTGCTACCTTTTGGACTGCAGAGGGCGCCTGCTGTGTTTATGCAACTAATCAATGAGGTTCTTCATGAGCACCTGTATAAGGGGGTTTTGGTTTATCTTGATAACATCTTAATCTATACTGAGACTAAGGCAGAGCACATTAAACTAGTCAGAGCGATATTAAATAAATTGTGCTCTGCTAAATTATATGCCAAGCTCTCAAAGTGCAAATTTCACAAAGTTCATATTGATTATTTGGGCTATTGCATCTCAAGAGAAGGGGTGGACATGGACATGGAGAAAGTGTGAGCCATGCTGGAATGGGCTCCCTCTTGTACTAGGAAGCAATTACAGAGCTTCTTAAGCTATGCAAATTTTTACCGGCAGTTTATTTCTTCATTCGCACAAATTGCACTCCCCATCACAAACCTCTTGAAAACCAAAGGCAGGGACAAACCCAAACCAAGCCAGCCGCTGAAATGGATAGGGGATTGTCAAGCGGTGTTTGAGAAACTAAAGAGGCTTTTCTTGGCAGAGCCAGTACTGAAGCACCCGGACCCGGAAAAAGCTTTTGTTATTCAGGCTGACGCTAGCGACATGGCCGTGGGAGTGGTTCTCCTCCAGAGAAACGAGGAGGGCCAACTGCAGCCTTGTGCTTACACTTCTAGAAAACTATCTGAGACTGAGCAGCGGTGGGCGGCCTGGGAGAAGGGAGCCTATGCTGTGCGATGGGCCCTTCTGACCTGGAGGCATTTTCTAGAGCAGGGCTTTTCAACCTTTTCACCCATTGTACCACTTTTAGGATATGGCAGTATCCGAGTACCACCAGTCGCCTAGCAAGGTGTCAAAAACTTGATGACTCCCCCAAAAAGGGATAAAGTACAGGTAGTCCTCGATTTACAACAGTTCGCTTAATGACTGTTCGAAGTTACAATGGCACTGGAAAAAGTGCCCCCCAAGCCACAGCCGAGCAAGACACCTGCCTGCCCACCCAGGGGCGCTCTTCCTCCTGTTTGAGGTTTTCATTGTTGTGAACATTTCTGTTGGGGATTGGTAGCGGAGGTGGGGTGGGAGGTGTTTGGTTTTTATTCCACCCATCTGCTGGGTGGTTGCAGCAGGTTTTGGTCACTTCACATGACCCTGGGACACTGTGACCATCATAAATATGAATCAGTTGCCAAGCATCTGAATGTAAATCACAAGACCCTGGAGATGCTGCAACATTCCAGCTGATCGGCGCTTCTTCTGGGCTCAGCAGAAGTGCCAGGATCAGCGCTGAGCTCCAGCTGGAGCCTGGCGCTGATCCTGGTGCTTGCACTGAGCCCTGACAGCCCCGAAGAAGCGCTGATCAGCTGGAAAGCGGCACTGATCCTTGTGCTTCCGCTGAGCCCTGCAGCTCCAGCCATCTCTCGCTCAGGCTTGTGCGGTGCTGCCACCGGTTCAGCTCATTCCCCTCCCCCGCTACCACTTTTCTAGGATGGTCGCGTACCACCTGCCAGGTGCCAATGTACCACAGGTGGTACCCGTACCACTGGTTGAAAAGCCCTGTTCTAGAGGGGAGTAAAATACCATTTCAGGTGTGGACTGATCACAAGAATCTCGAAGCTATGAAAACCCCTAGGAAGCTGTCCCCTAAGCAAGCAGGTGGTCTCAGCATTTCCACCTTCAATTTTACAATTAATTACCTGCCATGGGGCAAGAATTTCCCGGCAGATGCTCTGTCTAGGATGCCACAGTACAATAGTGCTAAATCGGAAGTAACCTCGCCTTCTTTTCCCTGCTATCACTAGCTCCCAATAAAAGTTCCTTTTGAGACAATGCCCGTTTCAAGAGTTCTGCTTTCTTGGGTGGCTTAGCTGAGGTAGATCCTTACAATATAGTATTATTACCACCTTGCAGATTAAAAAATCTCATTTCAGTCTACATGGTTATTAATTATTGGTTGCAATCAATGTTTATTACATAGATACAAGATCTTGATGTGAATTAACTAATTCTTAATAGGTGTAAATGTGAATTGATTTTATTTTGTTTTTTAATGTTAAATGCTGCTTGAGTTTGTGTACTTCATTTTTATAAACTGGAGGTTTACGTTTCTGTTCTTGAATGACAGATTCTTCCCCCTCCTAGGAATATTCTGTGCTTACAGATGCCTAGACAAGATCTCTGTGGTTAATTTTTTTAATATTCTTTGGTATATTGTACTCTAAACTTGATACTTTTGAAATAATAATTTCAAATGCAGTGGAAATGAGTGTACATTGTAATTAGTTCTTAAAAGTAATTGAATTTAAACCAATTTATACTGATTTAAATAAATGATAAATGTTGAGATTGCATTGTTCCAAGCAGAGTAGTGACTACTACAGGAGCTATGGTAGTGCTGTGGTTAGTATGCAGTATTGCAGGCTGACTTTGCTCACTGCCAGGAGTTCCATCTTGACCAGCTCAAGGTTGACTCAGCTTTCCATCCTTCCGAGGTTGATATAATGAGGACTCAGATTGTTGGGGGCAATATACTGACTCTGAAAACTGCTCAGAGAGTGCTGTAAATACTATGAAGTGGTATATAAGTCTAAGTGCTATTACTATTGCTACTTTGACACTTACCTATGCAGCCATATTATTTTATTGTTATATTTGCATATGGTCATATGAAACTATAAAATATTCAAAATAAGTGTGAGTATGACAACTTCAAAATTTAGGAACTGGAAAAAAGACAACTAAGTATTTCTACAATAAAAATTGGAATGCTAAAATATTTTCTTATATTTTTTATAGACAATAGCGATGGTGATAATGCCAGCGAATGTGAGGAATATAATAGTGTGTTCAGTCATCTAGAAGAACTGAGATATAACCTGGAGAGAGAAATAGGTTTTGAAAAATTCATCAAAATTTATGAAGAAATAAAGGTTTGTAGAATGTTTAATATGAAGACAAGAGAGCAATTTTTAAAAAAAGATTATTAATTTTCCAGTTTTACATTTACATTTTTGAAAAGCAGTGTGGCGGCTGAGATGATTCATAATTCAATAACATACAAATTTCTTTAGTACAAATCACAAACCATTACATTAAATATTTCCTCTCTTTTTCCCTTGGTATTTACTGTCTCACATTTGAATTAATACAATTCTTATTATATCAATTTAATACAAATAGCTTTCTTACATTTATCAATAATTTTTAGTTTATTCATATGTTAGTCATTTTAACATTCAATCTTTTTAGACAATCAATGTCCTGGTAAGTTTTTCCCAATTTTTAGTTTCCCATAAATATTTAAATTTAACGTTTAATAAGTTTCCAAATTTTAAATAACCCCAATTCCCTTTATCACAATTCATCCCTGGATCTTACATCAACTGGTTAATAATACAATATAATATTCTTATTTTCTGATAATTTCCAAATATCTTAAATTTAATAACCAAAATTTATCTTATTTCAACATTTAATTTCCTCTTTTTTCTCTCAATATACTATCTTATATTTAAGCTAATAATTTTTATTATTAAATAAAAAACACATTTGTTACATTCATCAATACATTCCTAGTTTATATATATATATTAATTGCCTTTATATTCAATATTCAATATTCAAATTTAACTATTAATGTTTATATTTCCAAGTTCTAAATAATCAAAGTATCCTTTAACTCAACTCATAACAATTTCTAATATTCAAGGTACACATCTTATCTATTTTGAGAATATTCTGTTTTAATTCTCACTAGTAAATCAAAACCCCAATTTTCTTCAGTCTTAATGTAGTTTTCTTTCTTTGCCAAATTGTCTTCCATGTCCGTGCTTTTGAGTCATCAAATAAATCTCTGTGTTATTATGTATGTTGTTTGACATAGAAAAAACCATCCGATCGCCATTTTTTTGAGAGGACTAACAAATTGTCTCTCTATTTTTCCATCTCGACATAGTTGTCCTGAACTGTTTATCTTCTCTTCAGTCTGTTCTTTCTCTTGATCCTCAGGTTTCTTCTGATTTATGTAGAAAATCTTTTCCCTTTTTCAATTTGTCAGTCCCTTTTCTGGGTTTTCCATTGACTGTACTTGTTGATCAATTAAATCATCAGTCATAGTATTTAATTGGTCCACTTTTTCCGTTATATTCTGTGTAGTTGATTTTTCAGTTGTAATCAAAATTTGAGTTCGTGTATCTGGGCTGACATCCCGTTCTATTCTGTAACCTCTTATTTCTTCAGTAGCTATAAGAATAGTTTGGTAAATCGCTTTCAGCATAAAGAGAATCTGTTCCTGATCTTCCTCCATATTCTCTTAGTAATGTGTTAGATTAAAGGCTTTGCAATCAGAAAATATATAAAAAAAATTTCAATGAGTATGGAACACAGCTGGGCTTCACTGCTGATAAGTGTCTCAAGGTTATAAGTCTTTTCTATTATCTAGGCTGCCAGCCAAGTCTCTTTTAAACAATAACAGGTTGTAATATCAAGTTTAGCCACAAGATGTTGCCCCTATATTTAAATTTTTCCTTTAGGTCCAAAGTTTTTATAATCTTTTCAGCTTTATTTCTTTTTTATAAGTAAAAACCCAGATCTTCAGTAAAAGTAGAAAGTCTTTTAATCCACAAACTTTAAGAAATAAAATTCCAATTAGGATCAGGTTATTCTTGCAACGTTTTTTAAAACTCCCCTGGATAGTCAGTCGCCGCTGTTTTTAGAGGGAGGGGTAAAATCTCCCTTCCCTCTCCACAGGGGGGAAAGTACTTAAGGCAGCTTTTGAAGGTAAAGAAAATAGTTAAGATTTAAGAGAGGTAGATCTCACCCAGTCTCGTCCGCGCTGCCTTAAAATTGCCTGATGGTAAGTGTGACTTCGGCTGTCTGCAGCCTAGTGACGAGCCATATTGCTATGGCCGGTCTTTCGTCTGCCAGTTTGGAGGGCTGCCCTGGATCAAACGGAAGAGCTACCGCCCTCCCGCGATCCAGTGGGGATCCCCTCCTTGCTGGTTGCCCCTACAGGGTGACTTTCGACCCTTTCCAGGGTCCCCCAGCGAAGCAAAACTGAACGTGGAAGACAGAGCTTGCCTTCCAGACGTCCATATCGGCTGCCTCAGCAAACGGGAAGTCTCAAGAGAGCAAAATTATTATCTCCTAATAATGATCTCTTTTATAATACAAGAACTCTTTTAATGAAATTAAGCTAATATAGTTATTTTTCAAATGAGTTTTAACATACAGTTTCTTAAGGATATTCTAAGTAATTCATTGTGTTCAAGAGCTGGACGCCCATCTATGTTGATCCCTGATCATTTCTGGCTGGTAGAGAATCCTGTATGTCTTCAGCTAATCATTTTCTGAATAACGTGATTTAGAGACAGTCCTCCATAACTGCTAACTTCTACTCCCCTTCCCAGCTTTTCCACTGAAAAGATAGCTTAATAATGACAGTTTCTGCTTAGACTTTAGCAAAAAAATTTTTAGCAGTTATGGTGCCTTGTTGGATCTGGATGAGGAAAGTTTGTGAGCTTATAATATTTTATTACGTTAAGTTTCTATGCCTTATCTTCTAGGCTATACATGAAGATGAAGATGAAAGCATTGATACTTGTTCAACAATAGTTCAAAATATTTTAGGAAATGAACATAAACATCAGTATGCTAAAATTCTCCATTTAGTAATGGCAGATGGAGCATACCAGGAAGGTAAGTATCTGACAAGCACATGTTCTCAGCATTATTTTTCTGCTGACTGCCTATTCATGGTTAGCAAGTTATGCCATTTTTTTTGTTGCACGACAGTGGTTTCTATATACCAGTGATGGCGAACCTTTTAGAGACCGAGTGCCCAAAAACTGGCCCCACCCCCCACTTCACCCCCTGCCCTGCCCCCTACCCCACCTGCCCGCAAGGCCACTCACCGCCTCCAGGGCCCACCACAGATCGCCCAGGCAACCCAGCAGCACCATGGCGGCCACGCCCTCTGTGCCACACAGCATCAAGTGTGCGCGATGGGGCGTGAGGGCAGAGTCTTGTCTACGCTGCCTGGCTGCCATGTCCTTGGCTGCGCTGCTCCGCGTGGGCCACGCTCGGGGGCGACTCTCCAGGGGCCTGCTGGTGAGAGGGTCACGGGGAGGCAAGGCTGGGGCAACGGCACGTGTGCCCACAGAGAGGAGTCCGAGTACCACCTCTGGCATCCGTGCCATAGGTTCGCCACCACTGCTATATATACTAGAAAATTGTATATTTTTACTGGCAAATATTAAAGTGAATATAGAACTACTTTATAATATTTTAAAAGTTGCCAAATTTCTGCTGATTAATAGGATTCTATCCAGTAGTATCTTCAGCTTGGGTTTGCCCATTCTTTGGATAGAACTTAGTCTAATTTGTCATACTGCAATTTGTAAGTGTACATTTTTCTATTTAATGTTTCTAATGGAAATCTTATTAGATATTTTCATACTGCAGAAAGTAAATATGCTAAAATATACAGTGTTTTGTGTATTTATGTATATTGACTTGGTGCAATGCTAATATTGAACTTGATCTTTTGCCTGTTATTAAAAGAGGAAAAAACAGGATTTTGCCAGTTCCTGAGATTCTTTCATAACTAATATAAAACAATTTTACAGCTGCCTAATATTTAATACAAATTGAGTTGTATTGTTCCTAATACCTTTATCAAATCTAATTTAAAGGCTAACTAGGGTTATCATTAAATTGATGCATACCATATGCTAAATAAATAAATTAAATTAATGCAGATCTAATATTACACCATGGTTAGCTTCTAAAACAGAGATGGAAGGTTGCAGAAATAAAGGGAGAAAGGTACATGATTTTACTACAAGCTAAATAGTCTTCTGATTGTTACGTAAATCTTATATTTGTAACACACTATTTATTTAAATTAGCTTTTAATTCATATAAGTGAAGTATATGTCTCGAAAACTTTAATATATAAAACAACATGAATCAGGGTAAAATTAAAAATTAAACTGAGAAGAGTGACGTATAAAAATAGCAGACTTGTTATTTACTTAGTACCTTTTCATTATTTCTTAGAGATTGGTGTTTGTCGTCTTTTAGTAGATTAGCAGTTTTGAAAGTCTGCTTGCTAAACTGTTTTTTCCATAATTAAATATTTTAAAATCTTTCTTTGCAGACAATGATGAATAATACGTTTTGGTGACATTCTAAGCAAAAGCAGATGTATGAATTTTATTCTGTAATAACAAACTGTACAACCAAAATAACACTTTATTGGGATAGACTTAAAATCTTCTTGGTAGCATGAAGAAAATGGAAAAAGCACGCCTCTTTTCACCATTTTATAAATATCTGTTGATATATAGCTTCATTCCTTCAGTAACACATTGAAGGCTGTGTTCTATTTAAAATGAATTACAAGGAATAGAAAGACTGACTCAGAAATAATTTACCATTTGAAAGTATCAAGTATGAAGATGCTGATTATATAGTAGCTAAGTAAAGCAGTAAAAAGGAACAAACAAAACAATATATTTTTGTTTAAACAACCTTGACTGCTGTTGGTGGAATTTTTAAAAATGACTTTGTTTTCTGTTTAGAATGACAATTTTTCAGTAATACTACTTGATTTTAAGTGCATACAATATGGAAGTAATTTCCCTGAAATTAGTAGAACATTTTACATGCATTTAATAGAAACTTTTTTTTCATTTTGCTGTAGAATATGTGTAAAATTATTTACAATTCTCAGTATTTATGTCCTAATCAGTTTATCATCTTTCTCTTTGAAATCCCTCAACTCAGTTTCAATATTATTTTTCTCAGCTTGCAGCAAGTGATTTTCCACTATAAATCAAAGGAGCTTTCAGGATGAGGTTTTCTTTAAATTAGAGTACTGTGTACACAGCTAAGTCTGCTGCTTTTTTGTTTCCCTGTAACAAGATCATCATAACAGAAACAAATGTAATATTGCTGTTGTTTTGAAAGTTAAATGCATATTCTACAGCTGGGTTGTTTAAAAGGGAGAAGCTGGATTTTATTTCCTCTGCTTCTCACTGAAAAGTAATTCTTTAATGGGGAGAGAGAATTTCTGCAAGATGATGAATCAAAGCATTTATTGTATGTAACAGATAGTATTGACCAGCTGAATCAGCTATATAACAATGGTTTATGTTGAAAATATAATTCTGTATTTCCTGACTAACAATGGAAAGTGGAATGTATATAAACATAAAATTAAATTTTTAAGGTAATTCTAATTATATGAAATAAATATTGAAGGTGTTGTTTGTATTATAGTTTGGATTTTCTTGATTTATGCAGCTAATGGATTTCCATGTTTATATTGCAGGAAAAAGAAATAAAATTAAAACATATTTATGTTTTGTATTTTAAACTAAAATTTAGTTTACACTCCAGGCAATTATAGAGAAATATATACATATCTTTTATGAAAATAAATGTAGGTTCTAGATGGCAAAAGGCAAGAAGCTTCATTACTGACTATATAATGGTTAGTTGAGGTAAAATTGCTTTCCATGGAATGTTCACTGTTATATCTTCGGTTCTTTAGGCATTGAACAAGGCAGAGTGTTGAAACAGCAAACAAGTTTATTAACTCAGAACAGAAGCAACCCTAAAGGCTGCTACACAGCTATTTATACAATTAGCCTCTAGGTGGCAACCAATAGGTTTAAAGTAACAGTTTCCCGCCCCAAGCCTCATTATCAGCTTGGAGACAGCCAGTATGGCTTTCAGTAACAGCAACTGTTAAACAATACAGCAATGTAGGTCAGACATTAACCAAGTGATTTAAAACAGTTCTGGCCAATATATTACACCCCTTCTCCCTAGATGGCTCAAACTCTCAATTGCTGGATATAGTCCTGCAGATATTTAAGCGACCTTTTTTTAAAAAAGTTTTTTATTTATAAAACAGTTAAAACAAAGATGGACATAACGTAACATTCCAGTGTATATATTCCTAACAATTTGTTCCTCATCATACATATAATTCTTAATCTCTCTATATATATATTTTTCTATACAATACAGTCTCTAATTTGTTTCTCTATATACGAGCATACAGTTTTATAACTTAAAACCCGAACAGTTCTCCTTGATTCACACCAACAATAGAATTTGTCCCAGATTTCAAAGTAATCTGACTATGTCTTGTTCTTCATTTCCATTGTGAGCCTATCCATATCAGCACACGATAGGATTTTATATAAAATCTCTTCTTCTCTTGGAATTTCTTTATTCCTCCAGTTTTGTGCATATGCCAATCTAGCAGCCGTGAGAATATGTAGCATCAAGTAAAGTATCCCTTTGTCGTATTTCTGCATAGTTATGCCTAGTAGGAAGAGTTCTGGTTTTAGCTCTACCTCTATCATTAGTATTTTTCCAGCCACTTTTTAACCTTGTTCCAAAAGTCACGGGATTTTGAGCACTCCCACCACATGTGGTAATATGTCCCTCTTGCCAATTTACATTTTCAGCACATGGAAGAAATATTTGGACCCATTTTAGCTAATCTTGTGAGTGGGAGATGCCATCTGTAGAACATTTTGTAGAGGTTTTCTTTGTAGGAGGTGGCCAAAGTAAGCTTCCTATTTCGTACCCATAGTTCTTGCAAGATATGCAGATCAAAGTTGAGATCAAAATCCCTGCTCCACCGTTCTGAACGTCTAGGGGTTGCAGGGGTCTCCCGGTCTACCCGCTCACCTGCCCAGCTGGGTAGACCAGGACTCTGAGGTCCAGTGAAGTCAGGTTGAGTTGGGTCCTTTTGGCTGGCCAGTCCAATCGTGCAGCGAAGTCTGCAGGGCTGTCCCTCAGCGCAGTTTGCTGGTCCTGTTCAGCAGATACTGTCTGTTCAGGGAAAGCTCTCCTACGGCCTTTCCCCCGTCCCCTTGAGTAAGAGTTCTGCTGGAGTGTGCAAGCTCCTCTGTTGGGCCGCTGTCATACGGCCCTCTTGAGAGGCCTGAGCCAGTGACTGGTTCGCTAGCCTCCGATGCAGCTGGTCAATGTGCTGGCGAATGACTCGCCCATCTCCCAGGACCACCTCATAAGAGAGTGGTCCTGATACCTTAACAACCATGGCTGCCACCCACAAAGCCCCTTGCCCGTAATTCCAGGTCCAAACCCAGTCACCCACTTGCAAATTCCGAGTTGCCTTTGGCTGAGCAGAGTCCGAGGCAACCGGGTCGAGGTGCAGCCTGTCCAGCTTGGTGATCAAACATCGGCCCCATCTGAGTTCGGCAGGATTTCTGCCCATGGCGGTACAGGGAGTTGTGTGTTGGCAGAGTAGAAAATCTGCCAGTCTGTAGTAACAATCTGTTTTAGTGATTCCTTGGTTGTGCGGACCATGCGTTCTACTTGGCCGTTCGAGGCCGGGTGAAAGGAAGCCAACGTGGCGTGCTGTATTAGATTTGCCCTGAGGAAAGACTGGAATTCAGAAGCAATAAACTGAGCCCCATTGTCTGAGACTAACACATCTGGAATCCATGTGTTGTAAAGATTCTGTGCAGTTCCTGGATGGTCCTGGCAGTAGTCATAGTACTGACTGGTGCGACTTCTAACCATTTAGAATAGCTATCTACCACTATTAGAAACAGCTGTCCCTGAAAGGGCCCGGCAAAATCGATGTGGATTCTTGACCACAGTGTGTGTGTCCTCCCATCGGTGGACAGGGGCTTGCGGCATCTCAGGTCTGGATTGCTGGCACCTGTAGCAACCATGTACTTGGGTCTCGATGGCTTTATCTAGCCCTGGCCACCAAAGGTAGCTCCTTGCAAGTGCCTTCATCCGGACTATTCCCGGATGACCTTCGTGCAGAGACTCTGGGCCTTAAAGAGCTCAAGACTATGATCCTACTTCCCCAAAGGATGCACCCCTTATGAGCTGAAAGCTCATCTTTTCTTATGAAGAAACTCTGAAATTCTGGCCCTGGACATTTGTCCAGCCATCCTGTGTGTACCCAGTTTAGCACATGACTCAGCGTTTTGTCAGTTGCTGTCTCAGCAGCTATGTCCCCAGTGTGAAGGAGAGATTCCAGAAAATCCTGGATAGCCAGGATGCGTGCAGCCGGGGCTGGATCTGGCTCCACATGTGGCTGGGGCAACCTGCTCAGGCTGTCTGCATGGCCCATTTCCTTGCCCGGTTTGTGAATCATCCTATAGCTGTAGGCTGTCAGGAAGATAGAACACCTCAGTATTTGAGGAGACAGAATCTGAGGTGTCTGATTGTTTGTGGTGAACAACCCTAGGAGTGGCTTGTGGTCCGTGAAGACCATGAACTGGTGGCCATACAAGTAGTCATGGAACTTTTTAATTCCAGCCACAATGGCCAGAGCCTCCTTGTCAATTTGCGCGTAGTTGCGCTCTGTGGATGATAGGGTCCTGGAGTAATACACGATGGGCTTCTGCCTCCCATCAGCCATTAAGTGGCTTAACACAGCCCCAACCCCATACGGGGATGCATCTCACGCAATGCAGACAGGCAGCTGCTCATTGAAATGAGTGAGAACTGAGTTCAATGACAGCAGTGATTTGACTGCTTGGAAGCTACTCTCGTGGCCACTGGTCCACTGCCACTGAGCTTGTCTATCCAAGAGCCGGTGTAAGGACTCTGCCACTGCGGCCTTGTTTGGGAGGAAGGGATGGTAAAAATTCAAAAGGCCTAGGAAAGCCTGAAGCTCTCCCTTTGACTTCGGCCTTGGGGCCTGCTGGATTGCTTCTAATTTGGATTCTGCCGGATGAATGCCTTTCAGCATCGATGCGGAAACCAAGGAACTCGGTTGACTCTACCCCAATCTTGCACTTTTCTCTTTTTAGTTTAAGTCCTGTGTCGCGGAACCGCTGAAGGACGGCCTTAAGTCGTTCAGCCAGAATCTCAACCGATTCCCCAGCAATGAGGACAACATCGTAGGGGCAAACCCCTGGAATTCCCTTGAGCGTGTGCTCCATCACTCCCTGGAACAGCCCTGGGGCTACACTCACCCCTAACTGTAGGCGCTTAACCTTAAAAGCCCCCCTATGGGTGACAATGGTCTGGGCTACCGCCGTGGCCTCATGCATGGGCAGTTGTTGATAGGCCTGTGCCAAATCTAATTTGGCGAACACGCGGCCTCCTTGCAATGATGCCAAAATATGGCTGACAACTGGCACAGGGTACACGTGCTGTTGAAGTGCCCTGTTGAGGGTGCACTTATAGTCAGTGCATATTTGCACTTCCCCATTGGCCTTTAATGGCGTTACTATGGGGGTCTCCCACACCCCACTGTCTATGGGCTGCAATACCCCTTGTTCCACTAGCTTATCTGTCAACGCTGCTAATATTGAATATTCTTGCTTTGACAAAATATGCAGAATTGTCTGGTATTTTTAGAGTTAATTCAGATGAGACAGAGAAGTAGGGAAAAGCGCGTGGAAAGAACGGAAGTGAATCTTTTGCCCTCCAGGTTAATTGGAAGATGTGAATCATGACCCCAAAATAGGGGAGGAGAAATGCCTGGAAGGTTATGTGCAAAGGAAGGGAAATTCAGATCTTGGCATCCCTCCATGCTGTGCTAACACTCCATTACACTAATAAAGGCTTTTTAGGTTAAACAATGCCTGAAAGTTCTTTGAAGTGTTTCATTAGTCAGACACATGACATCATGCCAAGATCTAAAATCCTTTTCAAATGACCTGGGGTCCTGAACTCCATCCGCTGTCTCTAGGCTTGAGAGGAGCTGGTAAAGATTCAGGGAAGGAAAATCTATCATGAAAAAAGTGAGTTTGCTTGAAGACCCAGCAGCTGCTGATAACCCAGAGGGGGAAGCAACAGATAGCATGCTGTGGGAAGATGAATTCTGGCAGATCTCCCAACTGGGAGCAAACAAATCGCCTGCTACTCAAGCTTTGGGTGAGTCACTGGAAAGATTTCAAAACCCAGATGTGAAAAGCAGAAATCTATTCCTGCAGAGAGGAGCCTACAGCCCTTCCATGGCAAATCAGAAAGCATTTCAGATCCTGTCTTCCCCTGCCAGGGACTCCAGCCCTGAAGAGAGAGGGAATCCCAGTCTGAGGCCTCTGCAGCAATGGGGAGATTGGCACCCCCCACAGGTAGTTGATCAGCAGCATCTGAGCTTGCCACAGCTAATAGAAGCCTTACAACAGCTTGGGGTGGTGCAGAAGCCAGGAGATCAGCAGCTGGTGGGAAGACGACCACAGCAAGGAGATTGGTCACCACCCCCGAACGTACAGCAACCGCTGAGGGACTTACAGCAACAGGGGGCGTGGCCACAGCCCCTGAACGTGCAACCCCTGGGCATCAACCAGCAACCAGCATGGGGCCA